GCTGGGACTACAGGCATGTCACCACACCTAGCTAATTTTTGTGTTTTTTGTGGAAACAGGGTTTCACTATGTTGCCAAGCTGGTCTCAAACTCCTGACCTCAAGTGATCCACCCACCTTAGCCTCCCAAAGTGCTGGGATTACAGGCATGAGCCACCTGGCCAAAGTTACACGGCCAAGACAAGCTATGGCCCACGAGCCCAGGTTCTCTTGTGTTGGCACTTTCCCGACATATGCTAAATGATGGGAAAGTCCGGGTCTCATCTTTTTGTGTGGTCCTCACCTCACTTGACTTCTGCTGTTTCTGTTCACTCTGGGCTTCCGTGCTCTCATTGATATAGTTCTCAGTTTTCCACTGGTCTGTATCCCATTCTGCCTTGGACACCTTTTCTTCTTGCTGTTCACTGAGAAGTTTCATCAGGAGGCCTGTCCCGGAGATCAGCTTAGCACAGGCTAATTGCACTTGGGTCTCAGAGCAGTCCATCTTCAAGGTCCGGATAACATGAGATATGAGCCTTCTCACATTGTTGTCAGGGATGAGGGACCGTAGCTGCTGGTTTAGCTGAATTTCAAACTGATCACCTGGGGACGAGAGCAATGGGTAATTGAAGTTTTTGGGCTTGGGGAACAGGTCAGTGCCCAGGTCATTGTATTCCCATTGTGCTCCATTGGTTTGTTTAACAGTTGGCTCTAAGTTGAACGCAGTCCCAGCGGAATCTGCCTCAGGAGGATTTTTGTAGGTTGTGTTTTCAGAGATGGTGCCTTCTGGCATAGCAGTGTTTCCCACAAAAATGTTTTCATCAAAGGCATTTCCTGCAGTGGTGTTTTCCATAAAATGTTCTGAAGGAGCAAATACCTCTGGAAAAGAATTTTTTTGAATACTGTCTCCTAAAGAGGAAAAAGCCCCTTCTGAAGGGGAATTTATGAGGCTCTTTGCTGCAGAGAACAGAGGCTTCTTTGCCAGCATCAGTCTGTTGAGAGAACTTTTCTTTCTGAACTTTCGACTCTTTTTGGCCTTGGGTGTTCTGTGGACCACATGGGAGCTAGTTTTATGAAAGTGGTATTTTTTTCTGGAATTTGTGGTTTGTTTAGCAGCCTTCATATTTTTAACTCTAGCCTTTGCATTTTCTAAAATGAAAATGGCGTAGGTTAAGTCTTTCTCTAGGTTTCTTACTTCACGTTGGGCTTTTCCAGGGGTGGAGGCGGAAGGCCCGCCCATGGAGAAGGGTTTCAGCAAAGAGGACACCGCTGTCTTATGTTCTTGGGTGAACAAAGGCTTGGTGTAGATAGTGTTTCCCACTAACTTCTTGGGCCTGTGCACCACGTGAGGCTGTTCCAGCTCCCTTGGGGCTGCACTCCCAGGCCTTTTTCCTTTGGCAGTGTTTTCCACAAATGCCTGGGCACTCTGTTCCCTCCAGATGCTCTGCTTTCCCCCCTCTTTGAAGCGTCTTTTCTGGATGCTCCTTGGGCCCATGAGGACTCTGTTTGCTCTCTGCAGGCTTTTGCCTACACTTTGAATCTTTGCCAGGCTGTTTTCCTGTGGTTGGGCAGTTTCTAATTTTGTCCGAAAAATTTGCCGTTTAAATTTGGGACCTAAAACACTGGACTGCACAAGCATGGCATTTTTTTCTTCCCTTTTAACCTCATCGATTTTTTCTTGAATTTCTGCATCTATCACATTTTCCAGAGAATACAGCTTTCTCAATTTATTTTCGTAAGTTGAGTTGTTGGATGCAGGTTGAAGAGAGGGACTCTTTGCATTGTTTTTCAAAATACCCAGGGGCCTGTCGCCATCTTGTGAATCTGAAAAAAGCAGTTTAATGAATGGTAACAACATTGCCTCCACATCTTCTAGATTTCCCGCTGAGAAATAAGGCAAGATATAATTTAGTGCACTGATAACATCACTTTCATCATTGATGTCTAGCTGCGCACTCCCAAAGCCTGACAAGTTGATGCCGTTGCTGTCTGAGGGCGTCTCCGGCTCAATAGTCAGCTCAGTGCTCGTGTGCTTCTTCCGGGCTTGTAACACCTTCATGAACGCTCCTTCGGGATTCCCTATAGATGCTTCTTCAAGACAATGTGTGGTGTTTGTCAGACATGCACTGTTGCAATGCAGCTTGACTGTCTTGCAGACAACCTCAATGCTATTTTTAAATTGGCAGAGGCAGCAGGCCATATGGCTAGGTAAGATCCTATAGATAAAAACACAGAACAATAAATTCATGGTGAAGGGGATTCTTGAGTAGGTAAAGGAGGCAGACCAACGCTACCACAGGGCTGGCAAAAAGGTGTTATTGAGGCCTATGGACTGAACAGTTGGGTAGGAACCAGAAGGCCACAGGAAGGAGGACAGAGGTGCACAACAGAAGGGTAAGCATGGCAGTGAGTATGGTATGCCTAGAATAAACATGGTTGGGATTAGAATTGGGTGACACTGATCAGTAGTTTAATTCAGAAGTATCTCTTCCCAACTTAAAAGTTTCACTTTGGGCTGAAAGTAAGCAGGAAGAAGGTAGACTTCTAAGAAGAGTCAGAATAAGCCCCCAACTTCTGTAGTTGCTTTCTCAATTCCTGTTGGGAGTGGGAAATATTAGACATTCTCTGGGCATTAAAAACAGCTTAGTTTAACATGCATTGTGGGGTAAAAAATAATAACAGAGATTTCATGGGCCAAATCTGGATGGACATTTGAGCATTCAAAAGAATAACAACAATAATAAGTTACAACATAATTAATATAAAGAAGAATCCATGAAGAATGATATTCAAAAAGAAAGAGGGGGTGTTCTTCTTTAATGAAATAATGCCAGCTAGTAAATGCAGAAGGAATGACAAAAATTAAAAAAGTGTCACTTTGCACCACCAATGTAATAAAAATTGATTCAGACAA